AAAGGATTGGGGGTTTTGTCATATAGCTTTTCAATTGATTGAGAGCTTCCTGCTGCTGAGGTCCCCACATGTCTTTGTTTTTGGATCGAATAGCGTCAAAGAAAGGTTTATACTTATCAGATAATCGGGATATGAACTGGCTGAGGGCCGCAACTCGGCCAGTTAGAACTTGCACTTCCCTGCGGGTTTTTGGCTCTTGGTTCTGTATGAGTGCCTTTGCCTGAGCTGGGCTTACTTCTATTCCTCTTTTATTTACAATGTGCCCGAGGAACTGTCCTGAAGAGACGGCGAAGGAGCACTTGGTGGGGTTCAGCTTCATATTGTACCTCTTGAGAGTATCGAAGACCTCCTAGAGGTGCTTCGGGTGATCCTCTTTCCGTATACTTTTGACCACCATGTCATCGATATAGGCTTCAACTGTATTCCCCAGTAGATTGTTGAAAATTTTATTGACAAGTCACTGGTATGTGGCTCCGGCATTCTTTAGACCGAAGGGCATCACTCTGTAGCAGTAAGTACCCGTCTCTGTGATGAAAGCGGTTTTCTCCTTATCTTCAGGATTCATGGGAATCTGATTATAGCCGGAGTATGCATCGAGGAATGTGAGCCTCTCATAACCTGTCGTAGCATCCACCATTTGATCAATCTTGGGCAGAGGGAAGCTATCTTTTGGGCAAGCTTTGTTAAGGTTGGTATAATCTACGCATACCCTCCATTTCCCATTCTTCTTTTGAACGATTACTACATTTGAGAGCCATTGTGGGTATTGCACCTCTCGAATGAATCCTGCTTGTAATAGTTTATTTACTTCCTCGGCTATTATGCGATTCCATTCATGTGAACCGTCGGTGCCTCTGCTTGACTGGCCTGAATTCTGGGTTAACCCTCAAACTATGGCATGAGACCGTAGGTTCGATCCCTACCATGTCCGAGTGATCCCAGGCAAAGACATCCGAATTGCACCGAATGACCCTAATCAATGTTTCCTTCTCTTCGGCTGTGCAAGATGAGCTAATGTAGATGACCTTCTGAGGGTCTCCGAGGACTACCTCTATAGCTTCGAGGGACTCCTCGGTAGGTGCTTCAGCCTCGGCTTCTTCCTCTGCCTTGAGATACTTGGGCAGAGGATACTGTAACTGCTATTTGATTGCGTATTTGGGATTCGCCTCTAACTGAGGTGATTTCGACGCCTTCTTTGCTTCATGTAGCGTTAGCATGTAACATTCTTTTATAGAAACCTGGTCTCCCCAGAGGTCGATGGCCTCCCTGCCATCTGGGGATAAACACCTCATTACTTGATGAAGGGTAGAGGGGACTCCGTTCATACGATGGATCCAACCTCTCCCCATAATGAGGTTATAAGATGGATGAATTTCCGTCGCTACAAAGTTCTCCTTCAGAGTCCTCTTTGCTGCAGTAACGAATAGATCGATCACCCCAAGCGGATTCACCTTAGTACCATCAAACCCCATTAGGGGGCTAAAAGTTGGCCTGATGGACGATGGTGAAACCCCCAGCTGATCGAAGGCTGCTTTTGTAATGATGTTGGCACTACTTCCCGGATCTATCAGCACCCTCCTAATCATATAATTCGCTACTAGGAGGCTAATGACCAAGGGGTCCTCATGCAGACGCTGGACTCTAGACAGATCATTGTTACCGAATCCAATGTTGATGCTGCTTGGTGCAACCGTGTTTACCGAAGACAATCTTCGTAACTTATGAGCCTCTCTCAGCCTGGATCTGTACAACTCTTCATCATCCTCTGACCTTCCGTGTATGGCATGGATAACCTTTACCTGACCGCCCTCTACCCATCGAGGGTTAACCTCCCGAGGTTTTACGCACTCCTTCGTGGCGAGATACTCCCCCAACTCTCCTCTTGCTATCATGCTTTCTACCTGTCGCTGAAGGGACCTACAGTCATTGGTGGTATGCCCATAGTCTCTATGGTAGGCACAATGTTTGCTTTTGTCCCTCTGTTCCAAGGGTTGTTTCATGGGCTGAGGAGTTGCGAACCTCATCTTATTCTCTTAGAATAGGCGCGCTAAGGTAGTACGGAGAGTGGTAAGCCTGTCCTCTGTCCTTTGCCTCTTCTCAAGCGCTTGGGTGACTTGCGTGGTAACATGAGGTACCTTCTGCATCCTTGTGCTTGCAGCTTTCTCTCGATACTTGTTTTCCACTATGACGAGGGTAGCGTGCTGTGCGCGGTGGGCTACGTTTTCCTCCAACCGAATGTAGATTTGTGCCCTAGGGTTCAAAGTCTGCATATCCGGGGGGGAATATTTGATCAAGGATGTGTGAAACTTGGTTCCCTGGATCATTGCCAACTTAAATGTTTCGATTGTCGTGGCAGGGTGGCAATCTGCTATCTCCGAGGCTTCCATGTTAAACCTGGATAAGAAATTTTGCAGAGTTTCTCCCTTTCTTTGCCTTATGGTGAAAAGGCTGGCGATACTTTTCTTCTGCTTCTTATTTCCGCAATACTGGGCTAAGAACATAGTGCACAAGGTCTCATAATCAGGGATAGACTTGTGCGGCCTATTCCTGAACCATTCTAACGCTGCTCCGGTTAAACTGGTAGGAAAAACCTTACACATCCACGGATCGTTATGATCGTCCAGTGCCATCTTTTGCGCATAATGATCGAGATGCCGAGAGGGGTCTCCTGCCCCATCGAACTGGGTGAAGGATGGCATAGTGAACTTCTTTGGTCTCTCCACAAGGTACACATCGTCAGTAAATGGGGTCTTGACCAAGGAGTTCTTGTGCTCTTTAGCCATCTCGGCTGGTGTCTGAACTCTTAATAGCTTCTTTTCATCGAAGGCATCTTGTACGCGTGCGCCATCTGGAACGCAATTGGACCATACCGTAAGCCTATGGCTGGACTTGGCTTGTTCGTCCTGTGTGCGACGCGGGAGATTATCCGAAGAAACCACCTCGGACCTTGTCCTTTGCTGTTGCTGAACCTCATTAGGTCGAGCCCCGTTGGGTGGTGTCCCTTTGGCCAGAGGCTCGTGAACTGGAGGTAAATTCTGGGTGGGGGGTGGTGCTGCAGCATCGCCTGGTGGTGGTTGTGGCGTTAGCCTGGCCATTGCCGTGTGCAGCGTATGAGTTTGCTGCTGAAGCGCAGCTATCTGGGCGACACTCGTATCGTTTGCTTGCCGGAGTGTCTCAAATTGGTGCAAGAACTCCTCTCGCATCTTTTGCATCAATTCTATCTATTGATTCATTGCTGACTCTCCGTTTGACATTCCAGATACGACTAAGGATTTGATTTGAAGAACAAGTGGGAATATATTTTTATACGATTCCCACAGACGGCGCCAAAGTGTAGGTGCAGAATTTCGCTCAACCAATAATGATTAAGAAAAATAAAACAACTCACTCAATCAATAGTAAAAATAAACAAGAACAATATATGTCGAAGCGTAGAATTGCTTGATTTCCTTATTGGAGGTCTAAGCCTCTATTTATATACAAAAGATTGTAAAATTATGGTAGGACTCGCGTTGCTTGCCCTCCAATTCTTTCTATATAAACATTCTTTACTAATAGAGTTCTTTCCATTGTTTAATTTTCCATACATAGAACTTGCCTTGTATAGAACTTCCTATCTCAGAATTTTCCTTCTACGGTAAATCCTTCAACTAGTAGGACTTGTGCATTCTTGAATAACTGGGCTGAACATACTTTGATCCGACTGGGTTTGGGTAACGGACCGGATGTTAAATGTTAACAAGTTGGGCTGATGACCTCTTGATTCGGCCTTGATGGAGGTTAGAGGACAAATAACAATGGTCTTGGGCTAAAAATACCCTCAATTTGGGCTTGAGCATGATGGGCCTTATATGTCCTTGGAATGTAGATATGTGTAGTGATTACGTGTGCGCTTTTTATTGAAAGGAGTTTTTTTCCCTCCACAGGGACTATGACTTAAAATCTTATATTCAGAAAGAAGATTAAGGCATAAATATATGCATGAGGAATGTAAAATCGAAGGAAGAAAGAGAGCACACCAGAATTGAAGCCAAAGAAAAAATTGAGGAAGATGATGGAATATTACAGAGAAAGAGGAAATCGTTGGGAGCGCGAATCGAAGAGAGAAATTTTTTTGCAATACATAAGTATGTTAATCAGCGGTTTTTTTTTTTCTTAATTAAGAGTCCGACATGGCATAATATTACAAAGGGATATTTGTCTCACATCAGATTCGGTTGGAAAAGTGAGTGGGTATAAATGGGTGGGTATGCAGCATTATCTAACAATTGGTGTCAGAACTAAACCCAGTCCCTGATCCGGTACCACGCTAAGCACCCGACCCGGAAGGCGTCCGGGTGAGCCACCCCAGGTAGGCAGGGTGGTCCGACCGCAACACTTTTTAATGATTTTAGGTGAACCATATTTAAAGTGGGTCAAAAATAGATTGGGTAATTTTTAACCAGTTAATTTGAGGGTCAAGGGTTTAATATGGATACCTATATTCAACATCTATTTCACCCGGTACATAATTGACGCATAACACATCTATTTTATATTACACTCACCCTATTTCCATCTCTCTAAAATTCTCTCTCTAAATTTTTCTCTCTAAATTTTTCTCTCACCCCATTTCTACCCAACAGGAATCGACCAATTCCCATTATATATGTTTGCCATATATATTTGCAGTCAGACTGTAAAATCAAATAAGATTGTGGATATAGACTATAGTCATCATACTCAATGCTGGTAAGACATACGCGCCCTAAATAGGGACGTCGGATTCTCAGGATTCACTTGGAGGAGCCAAATTAGCAAATATAAAAAATAAAATTTTGGTCGAAAAAGTAGAAAGTGTAATGTTCAATAGTTCTTTTCGAATACATATATATAGTTCCAAATATGAAATAAGATTCAAGATAACATTACCTACAAATATAAAATGGTTGTTTATGTATGTTTTCAAGCAATACCTGGCCAAATTCTTAGGCCTTTTTTTTATTTATTGTATTTAACAGTTGTTCGACACCAGACTCTACGAAGAGAAACATCTGAGGTATTAGGTGGAACTGGTGTGCCAAGTTGCTCAGCTTGCACCAACGAGACAGGAACGGATTTGAATGGATCCATCGTCAAGCTGAAGATTGGAATTCCAAAGAAAGTTGGATTCACCGAATTTGTCAAAGTACACAAAGATCCTAAAACCAAGAAGACATGTGCCACTGGGTTTTCCATAGAAGTGTTCTGTGCCGCATTACAATTGTTACCTTTCAAGGTTGAGCCAGTGTTTTACTCATTTGAGAAGGAAAATGGAGAAAGTGCTGGGACTTACAATGAACTTGTTCATAATATAACTGTCAAGCAGGTCAGTTTGATATCCTTCTACTTTTTATTTTTATTTTTATTTTTGGTCAGTTTGATATCCTTCTACTTTTTATTTTTATTTTTAATTTTTTATCTTCTCTTACGATGTTATAATAATAATAATAATAATAATAATAATAATGTTCACTCTCTCTATATATTAATTGCTAAAATAGATGTATTTTTTATTTTAAAAAATAAAAACTATTTTTGCAGTTTTTTGTACTAGGTTTTCTAAATTCAGATTGCATTTTAATTGTTAGATATTGATGGATTAAGAAGTATTTAACAAATTTAATTACGTGATTTGATCAGTAAATTTTTCATCAATCGGTGGATCCTATTTTAACTTTAATTAATGGGATTTACATATGAAACTACTAAGTTACAGATTTTGATTTATGGATCGATCTTTATAATATTAAGAAGAGAAATCGTTTATCAAAATCTATAACTTAGTGGTCCTTCTTTACTTTTTAAAAGATAATGTCGAGGGTTTAACTCCCTTCTCTCTAGAGTTTGTAGAGAAAAATTCAAAAATAACCAGTAAAATTTAGTTCTACACCAAATTTACGTACAAAAATCATGATGTTCACTGTTAACATTCTCTGGTTTCATTTTGATTGAAGGATCCGAAATGAATGGATTTAAAATCAATAATTTAAGTGATATAATTTGATGAATTTAAAAAGATTTCAAACAAATAATTGTAACAGACCTATCATGGTTGTGAAGATATTGTCCATGGTTTGCAATCGCGGTATCGGTTGCGGTGTAATGGATTCGGACACGGTGTAAATCGGTCGGTTCATGGAGGTGTGTAATGGTATTGGACTCGTTACAAACCGACCGATACGGCGAACCATGATACTGTTTGCTATGTACTCTCTCAGTATTCACGGATTTCAAAATAAGTCCACACCATTAGGAGTGTAGGGAAACGTGCAAGTTGTAAAAAACTTTTCGAGGAATTTTGATTCATAAATCTTGATTCATCACATAGAGACAAGTTTTATACAAAAATAAAATATGATGTATCATTCAATTAATAGATTGAATACTTACATCAAATGTCTGAGTAAACCTTTAAATATTTCCTCTAAAGTGAATGTTCTCACTTATTGTAAATCCCTTAGCAAGATGCCTTCTCCTTGGATCTCCATCTTCTTGGTAATTGTTTTGCCTTTAGGAATCACTCATAAGCCTCCATAAATGACCTTGGAAAACTAGGCTTGTGAGAGCCTCTATTAGATGAGAATATAAATCCTAATTTTCTAGAGAGAGAAAATATATTCATTTTTCCTTCTTCCAAAAATCACCCATAAAATATACATAAACCATGTATATATATAGGCAACAAAAAGACAAAGAAAAGGAAACAATAAATCCTTCTTAATCTCTAATTCACATGTCTCAAATCTAATAGGATTCCAATATCAAGTTGGGCTATGAGTGAGAATTCTTTGGGCTTATTATTTTATTGGCTACAATGAATTAATAATTGGCCCGATCTAAGGACCCAATTCAATTAATTCATAAATTAATTTCTACTCCACTAAAAGAAATTAATTGAACTCCAATTAAATAATAAATAACCTCTAAGTCAATGTTGCACTTTGACCCCTCTATGCATAATTAGTTATCGGATAAATAAAGTCATCAATCCGACTATTTAATTGATAAATTTATTTTGGTACCATTGATTATATCTGGCTCGATTACAATAAAACATTTGTTTGACAAAAAATAATAATTTAAATAATAAATATATAATAAATCATTTTGTCTAAAAACACACGAAGGCTTTCGAATTTACTTTGTGATCAACCATAATCAATACAAAAAAAATAGAAGTAGCAATGATGCAAATATTGAAAATATAACCCTCTAACTATTAATTACATAACTATCCAAAGTGTCGGTCTAAGGATCCCGAAATATCCGCCGAACAAATCAAAATAATTATTAATTAATAAAAGAGTTTATACTTTTCTCATACTTAAGAGTCAAATGCCATGACAGTGATAGGGAGCAATTGCATATGACGGCTCTCGCAATATATCTCAACCTAACGCTGATCCTGTTCAAGTCTTAATTAATTATGAGTCCATCCATAATTACCGACTATGAACAATTTATGATTACTATTTATATTCATGTATTGATCGCCATCACATACATATATAAATATCTCTTGTAATCAAGTGGACACTATCAATTCTATAATGAATCGAAACATAATACATTGAATTCACCAATTATATCAAGCATAAATATTTCAGAAACGTCAGTAACATATGTCATTATAGTCCAAATAGGAATTTGCTATGCCAGGGCATATAAATCCCAACAAGGAGGTGTCCATGCATATACTTTCCAACAACCTTTTCTCCCCTTTTGAAGTGATGTGGAAAAATCACCTACTCTTGGGACCCATCGTTCTCGTTGGCCTGACCCTCATGTAGCTGTGGACGATATGACCATGAGAGTTAAGTAAAGGACATTGGTTCCAATAGGGGGTGATTGTGACATTTCACATCATTTTATGGGAGAGATCGTTGTCACTTATATGTATGAATGTCTCATGACTGTACATACTTGTTTTGAAAATTATGAGTATAGAGAGTGTGTAAAGCGAATAAGATTTATATAACAAGATGAGTTATAACAAATGGTATATGTAACGACCTGATTCTGAGGATCCAAATTGTTAACAGGTTCTTACCCGAACCCGAAGTCAACTAAGGGCAAAATGATCATTATGCACCTTACTATGAGTTAGGAGTCATAATGAAGTTATACTAGTCATTTATAACCATATTGGATCATTAAAGAATGGTAACCCTGACTTCGGGTTCATACCGAAATCTTAGGTTTACGAGGGGTAAAATAATCATTTCAAGTTAAAATTATAAAATTAGGTTGATGCCAATGGAAAGGTGGCTCAAAATGCATCAATATAGGCTCAAAATGCATCAATATAGACTCAAGAATGGCTTAATTTGAGTTAGAAATGACCAAGTTATGATTGTTTGAAGTTTGGTCAATTCGAGCAATTTTGACAACCTTAAGATTATATAAGTTTAGGAAAATTATCCGATCAATCGGATTGAAATCTAATTCTGGCATCATTTGAAATTTTTTTAATTATAGGAGAATCCGATTGATTGGATCCCAACCTGATCAATCGGGTTTAACCTAGAAATGTCCATGGACTCCCGAGAAAGCTTTAGTTGGTTCATTCATCGCAATTATGTTAATGGACACATCATTACAACTCCAAAACTATCCCGAAACATCTACATACATAGGTACATTAATATGGCAACATTTCTACAACATAATAGGTCCAATTTACATCATTAAATGGCTATAGAATTCTACGATGTAGTAGAAGTCATTATGAGACCACAAAAGATGGATTATTGGCCTCAAAATCATTTCTCCCCAAAATTTCATATAAATAGCCATCAATTTACAAACTTAGCAAAAATTTATATTATTGGTTACAAGGTGCCATACACATAAAAAATATACATAAGTATGTTGTCTATGCAATTAAGTCTGGCAAAAGTACTCCTTCAATGCATCTTCCACCTCTTTACTATTTCCTGAAAAATGTTAATGATATGGTGAGTAGCACAGCTCAGTAGAGGATGCCTAAATGGCGTTTCCTCAAGTCAAGTAAGTATAGCAAATACTACGTAAGAGCATAATAATAAGAAAGGGGATCATGCAAATGACTTCAATCACATTTTGTTGGAACCAATATATTAAAACGGTGAGTATCGAGGCTTAGAGGTGCATAATCGCTTCTTGAAGATAGTTGAAGCATCTCCCACGTGTAACAGAAGACAAATGACAGCACGATCTTCAGGATTCAACTAAGCCCAGATATCAAAAATGTATGTTCATGAAGGTTGCATTTCTTTTTCATGAGCCTATGTATTTATCTCCATCCGATCAACAGAAAAAATGAAACTCACACACTTAAACTCAATAGTTTGAAAAACACTTTTATAAAATCTATTTTTCTTTCTTACTTGTATTGAGAATGTGTGTCCTCATAGGCTTCATATGCCATACTTTTATACTAGTAGTAGTGGGAATGTAAATAGCTTAGTATTAATGAACATATATTATGTTTATAAATAACATATTAACTAAAGTAGATTAAATGTATCAGGTGAAGAACTTTTAAGTTTAACATTTGTAAAATACTTAAAGTCTTCATAAATATAGATTAATAAAATCAATTTGAAATATAACTCCAACAATCCCCCACTTGTTTCAAATTTATTTTGTTGATCGATACAGTCATGTGCATTAATAATGGTGTCTTTTGGACTTGAACCATTACATAGTGTAAGTACCCTTCATTTTATTTAGGAACTTGGTGAACGATGTCTTGAACCAAGAACTATGTTGATGAATAAGAAATACTACACACACACTTCTATTCGGAGATAAAGTACTAAAGCTTGACACGTTTTGACCATGTGTCCGGAATCCATACTTCTGAGTGTCGTTAAGGATCAAGCCTGTCTGGATCCTATAGAAGTGGTCCCTTCCACACTCAGATCGGTGTGAACATCAAGAGTGACCTTGCATACTCCAACCGAATATCGGTTATGAACTCATTAAGAGAATTTAATCTCATCGTCCTCATTGCAAGATAAATTGGTGAATCTATCAAGAGTGATTATGTACACCCCAATCGAAAATCCAATCTATAAAATTCATTAAGAGATACAAGTCTCAGCCTCCTCAAAGGTTAGTCGATGAACTTATTAAAAGTGATCCTGTACACTCCAATCGAAAATTGATCTATAAATTCATTAAGAGATCTAAATCTCAACCTCCTTGATTACAGAATTGAGCACCACATCACATCATAGGGAAAGGAACATTAATGTGCTCACACAAGTTGTTATGTTACTTGTTTTTCCCATTGAACCCAGGAGAAATATCACCGGGTTGGGTTCTCATATCAGTACAACTTATTCAATTACAGGCTTTAATCCCATCCCTTTCGATGTCTCGGACACTTGGTCCTTATCCGAGCCCTTTGACAATGGTTCTGCCAAATTTGATTTAGATTTCACATACTGAGTAGAAATAATTCCATCAGCTAGGATCCTTCTCACATGATTGTGCTTCAATCGCACCTGTCTAGATTTTCCATTATAACACTCGCTGTTAGCTCGAAACATTGCAGCTATATTGTCACAATATATTGTCAAGGGTGGTATTGGCTTGTTCTATATCGGGATATCTTCCAATATGCTTTTCAACCATTCAATTTCTTCTCCAGCAGAGGAAAGTGTTATAAACTCCGATTCCATAGAGGAATGAGTTATACATGTTTGCCTATTTGATTTCAATAAAATCGCTGCTCCACCGAATGTGAAGATCCAGGCAGTCACAGATAATGAGTCTTCTCTGTCAGAGTTCTATGTAGCATCGCTGTACCCTTCAATTACAGTTGAAAATTTGCCATAGTGCAATCCATAATCCATAGTACATTTCAAGTACTTTAGGATTCTCAGCAAGGCATTCCAATGCTCTTTTTCTGGATTGCTTGTGTACTTACTCAAAGTACCCACTGCGAAGGCTATATCTGGCCTTGTGCAGTACATTGTATACATAAGACTGCCGATAATCCGAGAATATTCAAGTTGATCCATCGTTTTACCTTGATTGCGTACCAACTTCACACTAAGATCAATTGGAGTAGAGACTACAGAATCTGAAAAGTGATTAAACTTTTTCAAAATCTTCTCGATATAGCTGGACTGCGTAAGTGCTAGACCATTATCACATCAACCTTGCCAAGATCTTTCATGTCAAAACTATAAGTCAAATACTTCTTAGTTTCTATGAACCATGTCTGTCCCAAAAATGAGCATATCATCAACATAGAGGCAGATTATGACACCAAAGTTTCCTTGAAATCTACTAGATGCATATATCACCTCCATTAATCTTAAATCGAGCAGATATCATCATTTTCTTAAATTTTTCGTGCCACTATGTTGGAGCTTGTTTTAAGCCGTATAATGACTTGATTAATTTGCACACCTTCTTTTCTTGTCCAGGTAATACAAACCCCTTAGGTTGCTCCATATAGATCTCCTCTGCTAGATCGCCATTAAGGAAAACAGTCTTTACGTCCATCTGATGAATTGTCAAATTATTGATAGTAGTTAAGGCAATCAAAAGTCTAATAGAAAAAATTCTTGCAACAGGAGCAAAAGTGTCAAAATAGTCAATCTCCTTATTCTGCTTGAAACCTTTTGCTACCAATCTAGCCTTGTACTTATCCAGCATTTCGTCTGACTTTAATTTCTTCCTGAAGATCCACTTGTAACCAATTGGCTTGCAACCAAGAGGAAGATTCACCAACATCTAAGTATTATTGGACATAATTTGTAATACCCCTAAATTTAAAAAGGACATAATTGAAATTTTATTTTTATTTTATTATTCTTAGGTGTTTTCATGACTTTTGTTACGTGGTTTCCTGTTTTGTTGTTTAAATGAATAAACTGTTTAATTATAAGTGTGCGTGATTAAGTGGCATTTGGAATGTTAAATTAAATGTATTGTTTTTATTTTATTTTATTTTTAATCGAACTTGGGCTTGGATATGATTAACGGACTATTTGAATAGTGTAAATGGGTACCATTTTACCTATGGAAGTATATACATGTATATATATGGGTATATATGTATATAGAGCTAGTTTTAATTATTGCTATTTATTAATAATTAAACTTGAGGTATTAATCCTAATTTAATATAGGTTATAATTTTAGGGTTACATATATTCTCACGTTTTTAGCCGACTTACATTATAACTTTTATGGTTGTTTTTCTTTCTCGGATTAAAATTAGAATTAGGGTTTTAGATTTTCTAAACCTATAAATATATCATTATGTTGACTTAAGGTTTTAAAAAAAATATGTAAACCTTTTTCACGTACCAGAGAGATAGAGAGGAACAGAGCGTAAATTGTGAGACAATAACAGACCATCTTTGGTGAGAGTTTCAACTGTGGATAAATGATTGGTCATAGGAGAAGGGAAGGTTGAGCAGTAGGAGGCTTGACGGCAGTCATGCTCGCCGGAAAAAAAACCTAGGAAGACGGCGACAAGGTTTTGATTCCAAAACCGCAAAGCCAAGTTCTTTCCTTTCTCTCTCCCGTTGCCTGTGTTCTGTGCATCTGTAGATAGTCTCTAGGGCGTTAATGGACTAATAAATTGAATCTTAGATACTTAGTATTTGTTTAATCAATTATTTGTATTTAGGCGTGAATTAATTTTGTTACAGTTCACGCAAGTTTGTTTTGGTTGCAGTGCTTGCTCTTTCTAAGCATGTTGGATCGGTAAAAGTTTTAAGTTTTAATTTGATGCAAATTGACTTAAGTAAGGATTTGGGATGGTTTTAGATATACTTAGGACTCCTAGGAACAATTTTAAAAACCAACAAAGGGAGTGGAAGTGGTCGGTGCTGAAGCAGATGGTCGAAAAAACATAGCTGGAGGAGAACAGAGGCTCAGAGGGATGAAGAGCCGGCTCTGGGGATTGAAGAGCCGACTCCCATCATTCAAGAGCCGGCTCCAAGAAGGCATGGAGCCGGCTCCATGCTTGCAAGAGCCTGCTCTTGCATTTTAGAGCAGGCTCTCTCCTATTTTGACGTATTTTAGTGTTTTCTGATTTTCTGGGCACCGTTTGGATGATTTTAATTCTTTCGAATTGTGTTGTGAGGGCATTTGGGTTCTTAATTTAAACTTCAAGTGTATTTAAACCTCTTATTGCATAGTTTATACATTTACGCTAAAGTGTTAAACAGTAGGAACATAGACAACTTTTTAGTACTGTTAACGGTTGGAGGAAAATTAAATTGCGTAGTTTAATTCACTGATTGAACGGATTATAAAACCAGTCATGGGGATGATTTTTGGTGTAAATAGGATTCTTAAACTCAGTATTAAAGATGAACCGAAGGTTGGGAATAGCCGAAGACGAAGCTGAAAGGAGAAACGGAGCAAAACTGGACAGAGAAGGCTCTAAGCCTTTAAGAGCAGGCTCTAAGTTTTTATGGAGTAGGCTCTAAGTTTCTAGAGCAGGCTCCATGGTGTAGAGAGCCTACTCTATGATTTTCAAGAGAAGGCTCTTTGGTTAGGTTACGTTTGGTTGCAATCTGGAGCTGTCCGGGAACTGTTTGGGCTATGTTTGGAATTCTAAATTGTTTTAGGGAGTGAACTAACAATTTTAAAAGTAATTTCAAGAGATCTTAAGCTCTCTAATTGCATAAGTTAGCCTATTATAGGAAGGGAATGATCAGTGTGAAATTTAGACAATTTACATACTGTTAATGGTTGGAAGGGAAGTAGTTGTTCAATTTTTAAATGGGCGACTTAAGTAATTATAACATGATGTTAATCTTGTTTTAAATGCACGTTAGGGTCATTTACTTAATAAATTTAATCTGTGCACACTCGGGAATATAATTGCTGAATTAATAAATCCGTTCTACAATTACGTAGATTAAGGATAGGAAATTACTTGCTTGCTCTAATATGGCAATTTAATGAATTATAACAT